AGCTGGAGGAAAAAGGGTATGGGGCATGCTTAATTAGGAGACGACCTGCTCAGGTGGCAACCTTAATTCCTGCTTGTCAGCTAAAATCTCACCAAGTGTGGGAAGAAAGAGTTCCTGGAGGTTCAGCGATAACTTGCATGTTAAAAAGTATATATAATAACAAAGAGCTTAGAGCTCTAGGCGTCTTACTAAATTATCTTAGCATAAATCAAGTCCCCAATGAAAAAGGATACCTTGTAAAGTTAATTGATGATTAAGCAAAACAAAAATTGTTGTCTTTAAAGAGCATGATAATTCAATATGTATTAGTATCTTTTACTTTGGATGTTTTGAGAACACTAGTGAGCCAAGAAAGATTAACTGTGCTTGGTAACACAGAGAAACACAATGAGCTGGACTCCGCTAAATAGAGCAGATATGAACATCAGACATCAAAAGTTAGATTTCCTTTTTTCATTGTTGGGCTGTTGGCTTCTTGACATCCTGGAACAAGAACTCTCCACTGCATCTAGGGCTTCAAAGGTGTTTGCTGTTAGAAAAGTACATGGAAGTGAAAAATTTGGGGTGTGTGGATGCATTCTCTGAGAATTGGAATCCCTAACTTATTCTTCAGCCTTTTGCAATTGGACCTTTATTTTTCTAGTCATTTTTATTTGCCTTTCCAGGAAGTGCTCAACAAGACCCAGATAAGGTTGCTGAAGCCATATTGGATGCCATTGAAGACTTTATCCAGAAAGGACTTGTCCGGTCTGTGAAAAAAGTTAAAGTTGTTATCTTTCAGCCTCAAATAATGGATGTTTTTTGTGCCAACATGAAAAAAAGAGAAGGCTCCCAGGCTCCCTCACAGTCTATAATGTCTAAAATTGCATGTGAGTTGTTGATTTTTATGAAATGCACGTTCCTAATGTTGAGGTCATATGAGAAATAGCTAAAAGTCTACATTATTTTTTGTGGTTGTTTATTAGCTTCCCCTGGTTTTATTGAGATATAATTGATACTAGAGTCCCGGTGCACAAAAATTGGGGCAGGGGGTTGTCCCTCAGCCTGACCTGTGCCCTCTCACAGTCTGGGACCCCTCGGGGGATGACCACCTTCTGGCTTAGGCCAGCTCCCCGGGGGATTGGGCTTAAGCTGGCAATCAGACATCCCTCTGCCAGCCTGGGAGCCCTGGGGGATGTCCACTTGCCAGTGGGGAGCAGGCCTAAGCTGCAGTCTGACATCCTTAGTGCTGCTGAGGAGGTGGGAGAGGCTCCAACCACCACCACTGTACTAGCAGCCATCAAGCCTGACTTCTGGCTCAGCAGAGCTCTTCCTGTGGGCACGCACTGACCAACAGGGGGAGGCTCCTGCATTGAGCATCTGCCCCCTGGTGGTCAGTGTGTGTCATAATGACCAGTCATTCCCAGTTGTTCTACTGTTAGGGTCAGTTTGCATATTACCCTTTTATTATATAGGATAGAGGCCTGGTGCATGGGTAGGGGCAGGCTGGTTTGCCCTGAAGGGTGTCCCGGATCAGGGTGGGGTTGCCCACTGGGGTGCCTGGCCAGTCTGGGTGGGGGGCTGATGGCTGTTTGCAGGCTGGTCACACCCCCTTCAGGGTGTGGGTCCCCATTGGGGTGCCTAGCCAGCCTGGGTGAGGGGCTGATGGCTGTTTTCGGGCTGGCCACACCCCCTATATGGTAGGGGGTCCCCACTGGGCTGCCTGGCCAGTCTGGGTGAGGGGCTGAGGACTGTTTTCCGGCTGGCTAAGTGCTCCCAGCGACAGAAGTTCCCAGCCTCTCCTTTTTTTTCTTTTTTTCTTTTTAATTCTGGGATTTATTTACCTTCTATAATTGAAACTTTGTAGCCTTGAGAGGAGCTCTGAGCCGGCCAGCTTCCTCTATCGCCAGGGGCAACCCAGCTTCCTACTCGCTCCAGCTCTGTGGCCACAGTCGGCTGAAATCAGGTATCTGGGATTTATTTAGCTTCTATAATTGAAACTTTGTTGCTTTGAGTGGAGCTCAGAGCCAGGCCATGGCAAGCAGGAAGCTTGGCTTCCTCCATCATTCGGGCAACCAACCCTCCTGCTTGCTCCAGCTCCGTGGCTTCCGGCCGCCTTCTTGGTTGGGTTAATTTGCATATAGTCACTCTCTGATTGGGGTGAGTGTGGCTTAAGGCGTGTCAATTTGCATGTTTGTCTTTTATTAGTGTAGATATGTCACTGTTTAAGATGTACTGCATAATGGTTTGACTTTACATATGTTACTGCAGTATGTTTAGTTAGTATCCATCATCTCATATATGTCGTAAAAAGAGAAAGCAAAATGATTTTTTTCCCTTGTGATGAGAACTCATAGAATTAACAGCTTTCATATATATCATACAGGTGTGTTAAGTATAGTCATCATGCTGTACATTATATCCTTGGTCATTATTTATCTTGTAACTGGAAGTTTGTACATTTGACCTCTTTTTTCAATTTCCCCTTCCCCCAATCTACCTCTGGTAACCATAAATCTGATCTCTTTTTCTATGAGTGTGAGTTGTTGTTTTTTTAGTTTCTACATGTAAGTGAGATTTTTTTTAAAAAATATTTTTATTGATTTCAGAGAGGAAGGGAGAGGGAGAGAGAGAGATAGAGAAACACCTATGATGAGAGAGAATCATGGATCGGCTGCCTCCTGCACGCCCCCTACTGTGGATCTAGCCCACAACCCGGGCATGTGCTCTTGACCAGAATTGAACCCAGGACCTTTAGGTCCATTCACTGAGCCAAACCAGCTAGGACTGTAAGTGAGATCTTATGGTATTTGTCTTTTTCTCTCTGTCTTGAATTGGCTAATCTCTAATGAATTATCAGAAAGAAAAATTAAGAAAAAAATCCCATTTACAACTGTATCAAAAAGTGTCAAATATCTATGAATACATTTAACCAAGAAGGTAAAACTGTTAAGACACACTGATGAAAGAAATTGAAGAAGACAAAATAAATGCAAAGATATTATGTGCTCATGTATTGTAAGAATTAACATTGTTAAACTATCCATTCTTCCTAAAGCAATCTACAGATTCAGTGCAATCCCTATCAAAATTCCAATGGAATTTTCTCAGAAACACAACAAACAATTGTAAAGTTTATATATAACCACAAAATACTCCAAATAGCAAAAGCAATTTGAGAAAGAATTAAAAAGGTAGAGGCATCACAATTCCTGATTTGAAAGTATACTACAGAGCTACAGTAATCAAAACAGTAGGGTATTGGTGTAAAAACAGAAGCATAGATCAATGGAAGAGAATAGAGAGCCCAGAAAGAAACCCATGCATATATGGTCAATTAATTGATAACAAAAGAGCCAAGAATATACAATGGGAGAAGGGTAGTTTCTTTAATAAATAGTGTTGGGCACCTACTTCAGTAGCACATATCTATATAAATAAAAGTCTAAGTGACCGTTATGACTGGTTGACTGAATGACTGGCTGACCAGTCACTATGACACGCATTGACCACCAGGGGAGATGCTCAACACAGGAACTGCCCCCTGGTGGTCAGTGCGCTCCCAAGACCTACCTCCTGCGGTCCCTCCCCCATGGAGGCCAGCCCAGATTGGCCCTGATCAGGACTGGGTGAGAAGGTCAGGCCAAGGCACCCCAGCTGTGCACGAATTTGTGCACCAGGCCTCTAGTGATAAAATAAATGGTGTTGGGAAAACTGGACAGCCATGCAAAAGAATGAAACTGGCCACTATCTTACACCACACACAAAATTCCCCTCAAAAATAGGTTAAAGACTTGAATATAAGACCTGAAACCATAAAACGTCTAAAAGAAAACATAAGGGGTAAGCTTCTTAACATCAGTCATGACAATAATTTTTTGGATTTGACACCAAAAACATACACATCAAAAGCAAAAATAAACAAGTGAGAATATATCAAACAAAAAAGCTTCTGTAGAGCAAAGAAAACCATCAATATTTTTCTACTGATTGAGAGAAAATATTTGCAAGTCATATACCTGATTAGGGGTTAATATAAAAAATATATAAAGAACTCATACAACTCAATAGAAAAAAACCCAAACAATACAATTTAAAAATGCACAGAGGATATGAATAGACATATTTTTTCCAAAGACGATATACAAATGGCCAACAGGTACATGAAAAGGTGCTTAGCATCACTAATCATCAGGGAAATGCAAATGAAAATAATAATGAGCTATCACTTCACACATATTAGAATGCTATTATGGAAAAGACAAAAAATAAGTGTTGACAAAAATGTGGAAAAAACGGAATCCTTGTGCACTGGGAATGTAAACTGGTACAGCCACTATGGGAAATAGTAGGAGGTTCCTTAAAAAAATTAAAAATATAACTAACACATGATCCAGTAGTTACACTTCTGGGTATTTATCTGAAGGAAATGAAATCATTATCTCTAAAAGATATCTCTAAAAGATATCCCCCATGTTCATAGAAGCATTATTGAGATAGCCAAGACGTGGAAACAACATACTGTCCATTGGCAAAATAAATGGATAAAGAAGCTGTGGTATAAACAGGGTGGGGCAAAAGTAGGTTTATAGTTGTGAGTATGTGAAACTGAGTTTATTCTTGTATGACTACTTGTAAATTATTGCATTACTAGAGGCCTGGTGCACAAATTCATGCACAGGTGGAGTCCCTCGGCCTGCCCGGTGATTGCGGCCGCAGGAGTTTGTCTGGCTGTGGGAGCTTAGCTGTGGGAGCACACTGACCACCAGGGGGAAGCTCCTGCACTGAGGACCTGCCCCCTGATGGTTAGTGCATGTCATAGCTATCAGCTGGTCGTCAGGTTTTAACAGTCGTTTAGGCTTTTATATGTATAGATTTTCCATATGAATGACTGTAAACCTACTTTTGCCTAATCCTGCATAGATGATGGAATATTATTCAGTCATAAAAAAGGAAATCCTGTCATTTGCACCAACATGGAGGGACCTTGAGGGCATTATGCTAAATGAAATGTCAGACAGAGAAAGACAAATAGTGTATAATAAGTCTAATCTGTGGAATCTAAAAAAACCTGAATTCAGATACAGAGAATAGATTGGTGGTTGTCAAAGGTGGGGTGGTGGTAGGTGGGCAAAATGGGTGAAAGTGGTCAAAAGGTACACACTTCCAATTATAAGATTAATAAGTCCTAGAAATATAATATACAGCATGGCAACTATAAAAGAAAAAAGAAAAAAAGAAGGGAGGGAGGGAGGAACAGAGGAAAGGAGAAAGAAAGGGAGAAATATCTAATAGCTAAATATTTTTTATCTTTTAAAATCCAAAACAATTGTTGCATTCCCTTGTGTTTCTTTTTTAGGATTTTGGGGCTTCTCAAAGAAACCTCCCCTCAAACGAAAGCCTTTGGTTTTGGAGAAGAAAACGGAATCAGCAATTTTTCAGGTGTGTGGTGAAAATGAAACATCTGTAGAAAATGCCCTCTCCTGCCTACAGAATCTGATGGAAAAGGAACAGAGTCTTTACACCAGTGAAGAGGAATGTATCAAAGACTTTGATGAAAAGGAATATCAGGAATTGAATAAGCTGCAGAAGGACTTGAATATTTTGGTGGAATTGGACCATCAGAAACCTTTGATTAAGGTTTCAGGGATTAGCAGAGATGTGGAAAAGGCTAGAAATGCAGTTGAGGAGATGATTAAGACAGTTAGATCAGCCAAAGAGCAGGAATCCATAGCAGATTATATCACTGAGTTTGTAGAATGGCAATATGACGACAATAACACTTATCGTAGTTTTGACAAAATAACCAATATGAAATTGGAGGAGGCAAGAATAAAACAGGGAAAAACAGTTGATGTCCAAATTAATAATCAGAACTACACAGTGGACATGAAAGCATGCATTGCTACAGATGCAAACGGACACAGTTTACAAATTCAGCGCATCACAAAACCTCAAGGTGAGTCAAACTATCACGCTTGTTATCCACTATTTTAGACTTACTTTGGGCTTAACACTATTTTGTACGTCTATCAACATTGTAGTCAAGTAGATAGAATTCAAGTAACTCTTATGCATTAAAATAGAAAACTTATGGAGTTTACATTAAGGTCGGGAAAATACAGTCTGGGTGAGCCCAACATCCTAAGTATGACCATCTTAGTGGTAACATAGCCAAACCTTGCCTTTTTGTAGTTTGCAAGCTTCCTAGAGCTAGTTCTTCTGGGAAGTAATGGCTGTTTCAGTCCGGAGAGGGACAGCCATGGGCTTTAAAGAAACGTGGCCCAAGGTTTTATTTAGAACAAAATGGGGAAGACAGCCTGGTCAGAAAGTGGGCACTTTCTGCCTCTGTGATTGATACCCAGAGAGGCCCCGGAGCCTGCAGGATCTCCCAGGAGTCACTGCCTCCTCTGCCCTGAAAATAAAGTTCCTAGATACACACAGAGGAAGCAGCCTCAGATTCTCTGACTGGATCTGCTACCGTGAAGGGAATGCTTGTCTCATATAGAGGTGAGACAGACTTCCAGCCACAGAAGTCCCCCACTGAAAACTAGTAAAAATGGCTTCCCTTTCAGCACCTTCTCTTCATCTTTTGGGAGATCAGTGGGAATGAATTCCTCACACCCTGACCAACCCTGGGGCAATGAGAACTCAAGAATAAAATCTCATTTAGCAGAAGAGGAGATGGAGCTGCCACCACAAACTACGACATAGCAAAACCCACTACCCACTCAACTCTTAAGGATGTTGTGAAAAATAATGAAGGAACAGATGTCCATGCATTTGTTAACAATACAATAGCGACTATTTAAAACATCATAGGGAAATAATTGATTGTTAAATTATTGAATTATGACAGATAAGAGACTGAGCAGAATATGCAGTTCAGTCTGGGCATGATCAAAACTTGTGAAGACGTAGAGACACAGGTTCTGCCTCTCAGAGATTTTTAATTGATCAGTGTGTGTGTGTGTGTGTGTGTGTGTGTGTGTGTGTGTGTGTGTGTTCATAAGCATTACAGTTGGTTCTGTGTTGGTCTGTGTTCCATGCTTTGAAAAACATTCTCCTAGAAATATAAGA